TAGTATTGAATTTTGTGCGAGGAAATCTTTCCAATTGCTCCTCACCTCTCAGGATTTGGTTACCACCTGTTTACACCTAAAATAAACCAATAGGGTAAGACCACGTGTCAAGGTAAAGCCCAATCATCAAGAAAATCAATAGGTTGGATTTGGGCTGGGCTGGGCTGACTTACAATTTAATGATTCAGACGGTTGGATCTTAGGTGGCAGAAAATAAGATTGGATCTGCTAGTTTGAGTTTGATTTAAAATGGGAATTTAGGATTGGAGATAAGGTTAAATAAAAATCGGATAACTATTAAATAACTACCATACCTGCAATCCCATTATCAGATCATGGAGGAACAGTGCCGAAAATGGAGGAACAGTACCGAAGATCATGGAGAAGATCATGGAGAAAATCATGGAGGAGGTTACCAGCATCGAAGGGAACAAAAACAGAGAGAAGAGAACAGTTCAAGGCCGGCCCAACACACACACAGACTGCCCAGAGCATGTTTTTCAGCTTTCAAACTGCATTTTCCAGATTTCAGCAATAGTTTCCAGATTTCCAGATTTTCCAGATTAGTTCATAGCCTTAGCCTAGGTTTGTTCACCTTTGTTCATATTTTCTTCTACAAATTCCAATTTAGATTTGTTTTTAAACATTTGGAAGTAACTTAGCCTTCAAAACAGGTCTGCCCTTTTGATTCGGTTAGTTCTTCTTCCTTTTATGGATTTAGTTATGTTATTCGTTCATGTAAATAGGATGAATGTTTTCTACCTTTGTTCTTTTGTTTCTGCACAATATCCAGACATACGGTGTATTTAATTTCAATTTCCAGATTTGATTTTATAAGTTTTCAGACTTTAATCATTTCATAGTTTCTTCTTCAATTTTAGTTATCATTATGGGCTGCATAGTAGAAATCATTGTCTGTTATTTTACTTTTTTTGTTGTCTGCGAATTTAATCTTTATGGCATGTTATTTTCTGTTATTTACTTCATGTTAGTTTAATTGCTTTAAGATATTGCATTTATTTTAGGATTTGTAGCTTTTATTTACACTTGTTTGGTTGTGAAGTTCTTGGAGGTTTCCAAGGCAATTAGTAACTCATTTTGCAGAACTCTACCCTCTGTTTTGCAACATCGTCTAGGGCGCAATTCATTTCACAGACGTTCTTTCCAGCCATCCTATTGGAGGTCGACCGTTGGAAAAGAGAAGAGTCGTCTGGAAAATCCTATTTTCTTGTTTTTAGACAAAGCAAGTGGCACGCCTAACATCCAACTCACGTGGTAAAGGCCGACTGAGGATTTTTGAGGAAA